GCATCGACATGAGCGATGTTAATCCTTTCGCCATAACGAGAGCGACTATAGTCGCTCTCCACAAGACGCTTTGTACAGTCGCGGTCACTGAATCGTTTTGTGGACGCGGGGGGCTAGAGGTAAAAAGGACGGTATTTCTTAGCAGTAAGTACTGCCAACGGGCGCCGTATTAACTAACTGTAGTAACGCTAATCTCGATGAATTGACCAATTACATTAGTCGATTGATTATTGTGACAAAAGTGAATAATCAATTCCGCGAGATCTGCGAACTGCGACTCGTGCTTGCGTCTTGTGCAGAATGGTTCTTACGCGCAATGCGGTGGCCAATCAATGAGACGCAAACGCAGGTCGCAAATCTCGCGGAATTGACCATTCACGTTTGTCACATTAATCAATCGACTAACGTAATTGATCAATACATTGAGATTTGCTACAGTTAGTACGACGCCCGTTGGCAATACTTACTGCTAAGGAATACTGTCCCTCTTACTCTTAGCCCCCCGCGTCCATGAAACGATTCAATGACCACGACTGTATAGAAGAGTGCACCATATCGTTCCGCTCTAGGAAAAATATTTCTCGGAAATTTCTCCTCCGGCTGTCCCTACTACCGCGCGCCGTTTTCCTTCAATCTCGGGTCGCTGGCGGAGATCGAAAGAGTACGGCGTGCGGTAGTAGAAACAGCCAGAAAAGAAATTTCAATAGAAAAACTTTCCTTGGAGCGGAACGATACGGACTCCTCTATACATACGACTGGAGATTATAGCTCGCTACAAGACCCGTATGTTTACATTGAATTTGCAGTTTCGATCTTCGTTAAGAAAATATAACTTTGTCCATTTTGTTTACGTTCTGAGTTTACATTTACGCATACAATGTCGCAGAATATGTTTGCTTTATCTCACTTTGTCTCGATATGTCTTTCACTTGATAAATATGTTTTTTTTTTTTTTTTTTTTCAAACGATGATAAGCGTATTCTGTCACAATCAGTCGTAAGTCTGATGTGTCAGAGGATAGAGACAAAACGTATACTAAGTAATATAAATAACTATATAAGATATAGGAAACATATATCAATACAAAAAATTGTAATTTTTCTAATTGTGATATATATTTTATAAATTTTATTTCTTCCATAAAATGATTAAAACCAACAAAAATTAAAGTAATAAAACAAAATGACAGAAGAAAAAGCAACCAAAAGACAATTAAAAATATATATATAGTTAAGAAAAAACATAGTTAAAAAGAACATAGTTAAAAAAAATAATTTAAACAAATTACCAAAAATTCTTAAAAAACTTTTGTATAAAAGATTTTTTGATATCTCGAATGGGTTTTGAGATATCAATAACAAAAGAAGCATTAAAAACTACTTATTTCCAAAAATTGTTTTAAATAATTTTTTTTATATGAATGACATATACAGGGTGTCCCATAATTACCGTCTAACCGCTCGTAGGTAGATAGAAGGGGGTTATTCTAAGACAAAAAGTTTTTTATACCACTTTGCAAGATTCGCAATAATTAACAAAATATTAATTAATAAAGATCCGCTAATCAGCGTCCATTCAGCGTAAGGATAGCCCAGTCTGTCGCGCCGTAGCGACGGAATACAATAGCGCAGATAGCGCGCTGCCCGAACGCAGCCTATATGCTGTTTACGTATGCACATGTTATTCTATTAGTTCCTTCCATTTCGTCGCTACGGCGCGACACCCTGTATATACAGGGTGTCCATGAAATTTTGACACAGCCGAAGTATGGAGATAGAGTGAATGAAACTGAATCGAAAAGTTATTTGCCATTTTGCGAAATTTGCAATAGTTATTGAGATATGGATTAATAAATATGAACCAATGAGCACGTGGAAAGCGATGGTCCTAACCATATATGTAATACTTCTATATTGCTAGTCGCGTATCTTCGCAATAAGAGGCACGAGGCCCGAGAAAGAGAGACGCACGAAGTCCAAATATGGGCATAGATAGTCGAGCGTCATCATGCACAGGCGCGTTTACTAAGCGAGTGCGAGCGAGACAAAGCATTGGAAAGTGAGAGGACGCGAAGAAAGAACGTGAGAAAGAGAAATGCCCAAGCGTGCTTGAATGTTCACCGCATGCGCACAAAGCAGCTGGACCTTGCGCGAGAGAGAGGCTACTATATTGTCAGCACCGTACCGTTTGGGCTTCAGGTCGGCACCGTACTAGCAATATAGAAGTATTACATATATGGTTCTAACTCTGTAGGCGTGTATGATTGTCAGTATAAGATTAATGGCATACATCTGGCACATACATCTGTATTCAGCGGTTCGTAGCGAAGCGAGCAGCGCTCGAGGGGAGGTGAGAAGCCTCTGCTCTCCGCGATCAGCTGATCGACGCGATGTAATGAACAATAGTAAACAGGGAGAGAGGAGAAAGAAAAAGGGTAAATGAAAGTATTGAGATAGAGGAATGGAAGGAGTATTTCATGAGACTGTTGGGAAGGGTGGAAAGGAGGGTAGTAAGAGGAAGAGAAGGAAGAGGATCGGAGAAGGAAGAGGAGAAGGACATTGAGAGAGAAGAGATAAAGAAGGCGATAGGTAAACTAAGAGATAGAAAAACGAGTGGAGTGGACGGGATTCCGGGAGAAGTCTGGAAATACGGAGGGGAGAGGATAGAGAGCTGGGTGGAAGGATTATGCAACCAGGTGTGGAAGGGGGAATGGTGGCCGGAGGATTGGAAGGAGGGGATCATTGTGCCTATAGTAAAGAAAGGAGAGGGGCAGAGAGTGGAGAATTACAGAGGGGTAACCCTGATGACGTCAATATACAAAATGTATGTGTCAGTTCTGGCGGAAAGAGTTCGGGAGGATTTGGAGGAGAAAGGGATAATTCCGCACAACCAGACGGGATTCAGGAAAGGGAACAATAGACAACATTTACGCATTGAACTACCTAATAAACAGACAGATAGGAAAGAAAGAAGGAAAGCTGGTAGCCTTGTTCGTTGACCTGAAGGCAGCGTTCGACTCGGTGGATAGAGAGGTATTAGTGGGAGCAATGAGAGAAAGAGGGTTGAGGAAGGGGTTGGTGAGGAGAGTAGAGCAGATATTTAGAGAGACGAAGTGCAGAGTGAAAGTGGGAGGAAAGGAAGGAGATTGTTTCTGAACGGCGAGAAGGGTGAGGCAGGGATCCCCTCTCAGCCCCTTGCTCTTCAATATTTTGATAGCGGACTTGGAGGAAGAAATGAGAAAAGTGAGATGGGATGGAGTGGTGTTAGAGGGGAAAAGGGTATACTCGCTAACATACGCGGATGACATGGTGCTATTAGCGGAAGAAGAGGAGGAAATGAGGAGTATGTTGGAAAGGTTGGAGACGTATCTTAATAGGAAGAGAGTGGAATTGAATGTGGAAAAGACTAAAGTGATGAGATTCAGGAAAGGAGGAGGGAGAGAAAAGAAGAGAGAGTGGAGATGGAAGGGAAAGAGAATCGAGGAGGTCAAAGAGTTCAGATACCTGGAATATGTGTTGAGAAAAAATGGGAAGCAGGAGGCGCAGGTGAGGGATAGAGGAAGAAAAGCGGCAGCTGTGTTGGGACAGGTATGGGGTATAGGGAAGCGAAAACTTGGGAAGGATTAAGGAAGAAGGTTGTGGCTCTTTGACAGGTTGATCTGGACGGTGATGGGATATGGAGTGGAGATCTGGGGGTGGAAGAAGAGGGAAGTACTGGAAAGAAAGGAGGAAAGGTATCTGAGGTGGTTGCTGGGAGTCGAGAAAAGAACGCCAGGGTATATGGTAAGAGAAGAGCTTCAAAGGGAGAAATTATGTATAAGAGCGGGGAGGAGAGCGTGGAAATACAAAAGGAGATTAAGAGAGGGAAAAGGTAGTGATATTGCGAGGATTTGCTGGGAGGAGATGAGAGATAGGGCAAAAAAGGGAAGTGGTATATCGGAGGGGGAGAAGGAAAGGTTGGAGTTTTTTTAAAGAAAAGGAATAGGAATGGAGGAGATGGAAAGGAATATAGAGGAAGTAGAGAAAGGAGAAGTGTGGAGTGGTGAATAGGAAAAAAGAGAAAGGAAGAGACAGGCGGAGAAGAGGTGGGAGAGAATAGAGGAATTAAAGTACAATAGGTGGTATAGAGTGGTAAAAGGAGAGGGAGTATCAGGTTATTTGAAGAGGGGGTGGAATGAGAGGAGATGGACGAGAGTAGTAAGGTTCAGGCTTGGAAATGAGGTGGGGGAGAGGAAGTACTGGGAAGGAGAGGAGGACAAGTTGTGCAGGTTATGTGGAGGAGAGGTGGAAACTTGGGAGCATGTCTGGGAGAGGTGTAGGCGTTGGAGAGACAAGGAGGAGAGCTGGCAGGAGAGAGTGAGGTAGGTTTTGGGGGAGAACGGTGAGGGGGAGGATGAAGGAGCTGGAAAAAGAGAAAAAGGAGAGATTGGAAGGGGAAAGTTAGGATAAGTAGGGGGTGAGGGTTGGAGTAGCTGCGGGGGGAGGTGAAAGGGAGAGGGGGGGTTTGACGGAGAGAGAGAGAATGAGAGTGTATGGATGGTCAGGAATGGATGAAAGAGAAGTATGGAGGTGAAGAAGGGAGACATGTAGAAAAGGCGAGAGGAAGCGAAAGCCCGAAGGGGGGAGCGTGTGTGTGTGTGGGCCGGGATGAGAAGATGGTGTGACTATTCACGCGGTCTCGCCATCCCGGTAGGGTAAATTAAGTTAGATGTAAGTAGCGATGAGGAAAGTGATTTGTATGAAGTTGTATAATAGAGGTTTGGTTTTGTAAAAGTTTTGGGTACGTTCCTTTAAAAAACGTCTTGTAAACCCGGTTATCTGGGACGCAATAAATGTTTACTACTACTATTAAACATATTTTAAGATTTAATTTGTTTATTGCTACATAAGTAAGAACAAAAAATATTTTTTAATTATACTTTATAATCTTGCAAATTGTACAACAAATCATACAACAATTGTATAACAAAATCGTATAACAAAAAAACAAATACTTCCACCAATGCAATGATATGTATGTAGACGAATATTGCGTCGTCAAGAAAAATCAAACTTTATAATGTAATTTTCATACAACCATGTACCAACCAAGCAGAAAACTACTAAAAATAAAGATTCCTTTGAATATTTGATGCATCCAGTATAATCTGTAATACATGATTTGTTCTTAAGATGACTTGAACATATAGTTTAGTTTAAGAACAAACCTTAAGTCACATTACCTTTTACGTTTAATACGAGCACTTTCCAAAGTGCTATCATTCTGTTTTAGGAGATCCAAACGTACGCTTTTGCAAAAATTGTGAAAATAAGTTTCCCAATCAAAGTTTTTCATATTAAAGTCAAACAATTGTTGATCTTGCGTACTTAAGCGATTCCACATCATCTGAACATTGCGGTTACTACAAATCCAGTCGTTAAGGGTAAAAGGACTGAGAATTTTCATCACTGTATGGGTTTTTTGATATACTTTTAACATTCTGAAAAACATAAAGAAATACAATTTTGATAGAAACTTATATTCATGATAGGAAATACAAAAAAAAGAGTAACAGATTTATGTTGTTTTACAATACCTTGGTCGATGACCTGTGACTATTCCTAATATATTTAATAATATTGCCGGAAGTAAATGGCAAAACAAAATATAAATTTGATATATAATTTTTTGCGATATTAAAAAAGTCATCGGTTCCCATAGTATATCATTCGAGGGATATACAGTACTTGATGTTGTTATACTGTTAAAAAACTTACGCCACTTGATGCCATCAGCAGATATAATACAGTTATAAATTTTTAATTTAAAATTGTTTTTGCATTCCCTACAAATAAATATTTCAATACTATGGCTACTACCCAGTTCGGTTATTACTAGCAGTAGGTACTGAAAAATTTATAGTATACGTAACGTAACTCTATAGATTTTCAGTACTGCCAGTAATAACTGAACAGAGCCTATGTGTTTCAATATTAATTGGATTGTTTAAGAATATTACAAAATTGTGTGTCACTAACATCAAATTGATATCATATTTATTAAGTACAACTGCTTGTGAGAACTCAAATATACAAGAAAGAAGAGTCGATATGAGCAAACAACCAGGATGTTCGTGGTAAATATGTTTATTAAAATATTTTGCCAACGTTTTGATCTAATCTTCGGATCTCTTTTTGGTAAATGTTTACAATAAGGGAGACTCCTCCGATTGGCTTCCCGTTTTGATACATTGTAAATATGACCTTCCTGAGTACGTTTCTAAAAGTTTTATCTGTCGCTCATTGTTTATAAAAAAGTTATGAACCAAAAAAGTTTGATGACTAAACTATCGTTTTTCGACACCGTGTACATTTTTTGTGTGTTGTAAACATGTAGGCAGGGGGGGGGCTTCGCCCCTCCCTCGTGCTCCCCCGTCGGAAAAAAATAGAAAACGACTTCTGATTAAGTGTCGCTAAAAATCACGTATATGTTATCATGAAGCGACATGTAATCGAAAGTCGTTTCCTATTTTTCCCCGAGGGGGAAGCAGGGGAGAGGGGCGAAGCCCCTCCACCTGCGGGGGGCGCAGCCCCTCCTGCCTACACGCTTACAACAAAGAAATGAAAACAAATCGTCAATCAATCTAGTATCAAAAATCAATTCTAGTATCAAAATTATACATTCGGGACGAATACGAACGCAGAAATGAAAACAAAACAGAAAGTTTCGGGATATGCTACATATCCACACATTGTTGGCAACATGAACATTACTCATTTCCTTCTGAAATGTACACGGTGTCGAAAAACGATAGTTTATTGATGAAACTTTTTTGGTTTATAACTTTTTTATAAACAATGAGCGATGAAATGACGGATAAAACTTTTAGAAACGTACTCAGGACGGTCATATTTACAATGTATCAAAACGAGAAGCCGATCGAAGGGGTCTCCCCTATTGTAAACATTTACCCTCTTTTTTAATAACAATCTTAATGTAATTATAAACAGAAATACAAAAAATTTTAATGTCTAAATGCAAAGATAACAACTTGTAATTTCTCCTAACAAATAGGAATTGAACGCGCGCGTATCTGCATGCAATCTATTACTAGAATCAGTGTATGGTTTGTAGTGCTTGGTGGTTAACAAATCGAGTTTCAATAAAAATAATAAGTCAACAAAATAAAACCGTTAAACCAAACACAACAATAACAAACACACTAATACGTAAATTCTACGGGTATCTTACATTTATATAGATTTCTACGCACAAAACTACAAGGTATAAACAAGCTGAGGTTAAAAAACAAGAAAACAACCAGATAACGGTTATTTCGATTTATAGATTTCTAAAAAGAAAAATACAGTTTCAACTTGTCCGTGTCTGACATAACATTGATAAAGTTATTTTGTAATTATATATGAATCATATCTCAGAGATGGGTCTTTTAAAATAAGATGATTTTTTGTCTAAAATTAAAGTATCTTTCCATTTAAAGTTATGATCGGTATCAATACAATGTTAAGTGACGACCGAAACATTATCAATATTACGATTCAACTGATTTTTATATTCTGTTACTCTAATCTTGAGTTTCTCATTATTTGATGTACATAGGACGCATCGCAGTCGCTAAATTCCAATTTATATATCACATTGTTTTAGAAGAAACTTTGTTAGCTTATAATAATCTTAACAAATTTTAAGCAAGTACATTAAAAACCTGATAGAATCTGATCAGCAAAAATTGTGGTATATAAATTGAAATGTAATGACTAAAAATATGTACGCGTCTAAAAACAGAATTTTCTCTTACATTTTATTTATCTGTTATAACACATTTTCTTTATTCTTCACGACGTCGAAATCTATAAACTCACTATTTTCATACTTTTCTTTTCATTCCCTATTCTTCTACGTTTTGGCAAAAGTTTTTAACAAAACGATACTAAGAAAGCACAAAGTACATCTTGACTAGCGTAGAAATGTTTGTAAGAATTAAGACGATAGAATTACTTAAACAAGACGATAGAAATATGTAAACTAAGAATTACTATCCGTGAGAATAAAGGAAATTGTGAAAATACTGGACGTGAACGTAAAGAGAATTTGTTGTATACCTAAAGTGATTATGAACGTCCCATGCACTTGCAATTAAAGCATTAACGGTAATATCAACGGGCACTATTTGTGCTCGTGCGTTGCTATTACACAACACAACTCTCATGATACCGGATTGAATAAATAATGAAAATAGCATAAGTCCTCCATAGGAGTTGGTCCATCCGGCAAATGGTTCGTCAGCGGTAGGTGCGACTGCAAAGTAGTACTTTTTTCCATTTAGTTGGTTTACCATCAGGAGAAAGATTTGTTTAATATATATTTGATTAGTAGATTTTTTACCTATAGAAGGTCGAAATATCCCGAGTGGTACATTTTCGCTTTTTTTAAAGAGAAGCGTTTCAGCAACGGCTTTCGAGAACGTATAACTGTTTGTGTATTGTGTTTCAGCAATAAATCTGTATAAAATAGTAATTATATATTTTCCGTACGTATTTAACTTTTCAGTGCCAGATATGGGTTTCCCAGACCCACCCAAAAGTTTTAAACCGGTGTCTCTACTAGATATTAGTTTAGCGCGACATCTGAAAGTTATGAAAAAAATCTTTAGGGCCTTAGATATTAGTAAAGGTCGTTGACAACGTCATTTGTTTAAGAGGATACTGACTATAGAGATCTATAAATTGACGTTTTAGAAACGTAAATTTCGGTAATTTTTAATACTGCTACTCACAAAGTGCTTCTACAGAAGCAAATAAATATAAAAAACTACATAGTGCTTTTAAAAATGAGTATATACTGCTTTTTTTTTCTTCACAAAGATAGCATATGATCAAGAGACACGGTAGTGCTTTGCGCCAAATTCAAGCACAACGAAGTGGCACTCGAATTGCGCAAGGCGCATCGTGTCTCTTATACGCGAAATTCAGTTAATAAAAGAGAGCGGAGATTTTCATAGAGCAATATTTCAGTAACGACTGAACTGATCAATTTCGTTTTAGTCTAAATCGATTCAGAATAAAACATTTTTTAAAAAGTATTGTTGTATTTTTTCGGTTTGTGACTTTTGAACGAAGATAATGGAAGATAAACGAAACTGTGTGTGAAATTTACATTCAGAAACGTTATTATGGTCGTCGTCGTGCGACCAAATTGTATGGATGTTTGTATGCCTGCTACCAAATAGCATACATGTACGAGCGCGTTGAAAGAAGAAAAAAGGAAGAAAGACAGGAAGTGTGAGAGAACAAAAGAGAATCAAAAGGTACGGGTAGTGGTTCGCGTTATTCGTGCCGGCAACACCTCCGATATAACTTTTCTTAATAAACTGTTTTGAAACTTGGCGCAAAATAACTACAAACTATATACTTTAAATTTATGAAGTAGAAAATTAATTCAGGAAACGAATAAACAAATTTTGCAGAAAAATAACCTATACTATCATCACGAGAGTCGCTTTTTCGTGTCAACTACACATTCCAATTATAATATGGGTCTCATTAGATTCTTTTTTGTTGTACTTGTTGCGCTGTGAAAGTGTAAATATAATTTATTGTGCGGTTTTGTAAGTACTTATTATTCAATTTTTCAGTTTATTTTATTTGATATTGTGACTACAAACTTTCAATCTTCACGAGGTATGGACATCTACCAATTAACATCTTTAAAACTCTTTGTTTAATTTACTTTTATATTTTGCGACTGATGAAGACATCTGTGTATGTCGAAACATTTCGCATCTTATGTATTGAGTTTGCTAAATGAATATATTTTACCTCGATTTACTTTGCTCGTAATTTGACCTGTTTTAATTTATTATTATTTAGTTTTAAACAACGAGCGATTTCTCTATTGTTAGTGTAAATATATGTACATAAGAGAAATAAGTCTACATATATGAATACATAGTGAGGTTATATAGAAGAGGAAAGGATGTGTAGAATATATGCGGAGTCGAAATAGAGGATATAATACACGTATTGAAGAAATATGAGAAAACTAGAAAAGAAATATCAGAAGAAATATCAGAAAAAGAGTAAGAGAAGACGGGAAAAGCTGGGAGGTAATGAGGAGAATAGATGGAATAAGGAAAGAAAAGAAAAAAGAAAAGGAAAGAAAAGAAAGAGATGGAGGGACAGGAGAGAAGGAAAATAAAAGAAGGATAAGACTAAGGAAGAATACCAAAAAAATAGTAAAGAAACAGTGATAAATAAAGTGATAAACAGAGTGGCATTAACTGTAATGACAATATGAGCTGTAAGTGATGAGTAAAGGTAAAAGCAATATTAGGGATAGTAATAGTAGTAAAATATGTATTAGCTAGTTAGATGTGTTAAAATGTTAAAAAATGTTTAAAATGTTACGTAAGTTATATTATGTCAAAAATGTTAAGTTATATTGTGTCAAAGATGTCAAAAATATAAAATAACCGGAAGCTACCCAAAGCCGAAAGGCACGGATTAAGTTCAATAAATAAAAAATAAATAGTGAGGTTATAGAAGGAAACTTTATAAAACAAAATTTATGTTGAATTTTACATTCCAAAAAAAGAGTGCAAACTCTTAGTACAATTTATGGTAAATATACAGAATAGGGGAGCTCCCTCCGATTGGCTTCTCGTTCTCATATATTGTAAATATGATTTTCCTGAGTACGTTTTTAAAAGTTGAAGCTGATCGGAGGGGTCTCCCCTATTCTGTATATTTATCCAATTTATTTTTTTCTAATAATTAGTGATAAATAGAGATTACTCTCAGGCTTTATAAGTCTTTTAAACTAATAATATATGAATATAAGAACATAAAGAGCCGTTCGCAGGATGTTGTGCGTAAATGTGCTTAAATATAATAGGTCAAATATATTGGGTCCTTCATATATATGTGATGCAAATCCAGCATCCTATATATAGAGGAAAAAAATTATTTCAAAGTATATATGTGTATACATATATATATATTTAAGCACATTTATGCACAACATCCTGCGAACGGCTCTTCATGTCCTTATATTCATATATTATTTTTTTCTGTAGAAGCATTTTTGATTTGATGCAGTAAATAGGAAACTAGAAGAAAATTAAAAACATCGGTTTAAAGGGCTCTATACTCCTGGAGGTATCCAGTATCTTCTAAGATGATGCTAAATCGTTCTGTTTTATCAACGGAATACATTATTTTAGTAGATCTAATTTTATTATTTACTGTATTAAATCAAAAACGCTTTAACAAAAGTAAAGAACGTAAAAACACAAATCTCGTTGTAACACTTTGACCACTGAAAAGAACCAAAAGTTACACTTTCTTACTATCACTTGATCATATTTTTCTATTTTTAAACAATTTCTATACTTCATCGTATAAATATGCAGACACTAGGCCGAGAAGCGGATGACATAAAAGAATATAATGGAAAGAATTAAGGAAATGGCAATAACAAGATAACACCAGATGTTCGGGTGCAATTCTTTTATAATTCTAAGATTTTAAAAAAATTTTAACAAACGTTTTGATCTACTATGGGATCTTCTTTAGTATTTTGTATGCTTATAATAGTTTTTATATGCTTATAATAAAAACTTACAAAAAATAATGATCTATTCAAGATCATGAAGAATATGGATAAGAAAGATACGCTACATAGATATTCAGTATGAGAAAAAGAGAGGTGGAAATGGCAGTTAGGTAGTCGTCAGTATTACGTAACAGGACGCAAACTGTCCACCCGCTTCGAATATAACGAACAGACTGATAGTCAGACTGATAGTCCGTTACATTCGAAGCGGTGAACATCTGGTGTTATCTTGTTATTGCCATTTCCTTAATTCTTTTTATTTAAATATTCAACAAGCTGAAAACATATAATATAATGGAACTTTCAGAATGTGATTTTATTGTCTAGTTTACGAGATTAGTTAGATCTCCTAATGAAGCACGGGTAGTAGGAAAGATACGCACACAAGCAGACAGTCATGTACACAGCGCGTCATTGAATCGCGGAATAGGCGCGGGATCGGTGGGCAAGCGGGGCGGTTGCTCGCCAACAAGCGCCGTACGAATCGTGCGGCCCGCTTGCCCTCCGATCCCCGATTCCGCGATTCAGTGACGCGCTGTGTACGTATGCATATCCTCTCCACTATCAAACGGGCGAACCGAACGAGAGACAAGAAAAGAGATATACGTCTATCCTTGTATAGAGGGCACCACCTACTGAACAGCATAGCAGCAAAGCAGCTGTTAAGGTAGTTATTGAGATTTTCAGTCTATTTACAATCTTATTCATATTTGGAATATACATTTTTAAGTAAGCAATCTATCATATTGTTCAATCTCAAAAAGCTCAGCCGTACCAAAAAAAAGATATAAGGCTTTGAAGTTCAGCTTTTTAACACACAAAGCCTATCCTTGAGCCTCTAGCGGGTAACGTTTTCAATGTAATATAATAAACTGTATTTACAATCCTTCTAAAAAACTAGGAGCATACAGATAATTTTATTACGGATCTATTGTGTTTGTTTCAAGTGTGTCAACGGTTTTGTTTAATATTAATTCGAATAAGAAGTTGCTCATTTTTTAAATTTAGCAGACGACAAAGNGATAAGTTTATACATGTGTATGTGTACACATATATGCTGAACTCTGTGTGTGCGTGTCAGTGATGCTCAATTTTTTCTTTACTTTCTACACTTACTTGTTGGTACGCCACAAGTACAAGTGGATGAGCTCCACTGAGGCTCAATAACTACCTTAAGCCGGTGGTTCAGCATCCTTTTAATAGCTTTGCGAAGTTTGATTTTGAAGTTTGAGAGAAAAGAGTTCCAAGCCTGGACAAGATGTTGGCATTTCGAAAAGTATTGTATTTTTTCATAATTTTGTCAAAATATATGTACATTTATAGCGATTTATTAGGTCATGGCGCGCAAAACCGTTTTAAACGTTTCTTTAAACCTACTAGCGATTTTTTCAATTTGTTTTGTTTATCAATGCAGAGTCGTTTAAACTTTCTATTAAAAAAAGAATATGTTCAAATATTGATTTATTGCTAAAATATTGTATGTCAACGTTAGGTGCTAGAAAAATCCATTCTTCAAAAAACGTCTCGGAAGACTCATTGTAAAAATGTTTTTACAATTTCTAGACGACTTTTATCCCAGAAAGTACAAACAATTTTCTACAAAACTGCGTTGGAATTTTGTAAAAATCTTACTTACAAAAATAATTAGGATTTTTTAAACAAAAAGCCTTTTTTGAAAAAAATTGTCAGGTGTTTCTTTAAACGCTTATATCTTCAAAACTACTACTAAAGATTTTTTTAATTTGGTTTTTTATCGATGCAAAATCGTTCAAATTATCGATTAAAAACAAAAAAGAAATCAAAAAAATATTTTTTTGCGAGGATATTCGAACTTAAAGTCGCGCGGGTCTCGCAGACTTAGTCTGGATAACTCGTAGGTCATTTTTGATTTCTGGCACTGAAAGGTTAAAAAACACACATAGTTACATATAGAACTCCAGTAATTGTTTTATTTTTGAGCGCATGAGACTGTGTTTGAAAATTTGAAATTATTTGTTTATCTTGTTAGTTAGCGCTCAACTAGCAAGAGACAAAAGATATGTATTTTTTATATCTTAGACTCTTAGATTGGAATAAGCGCACCTCTACGGGATGCGTAGTCACTCAAGAATATTGGAAAATCCTTGACTATATAAATATAGATTGCTAGTAGCTAAACTTCACGCTGGTAAAACACTGTATTTAACATATATGCAACTTAGGCCCCGCCCCGATGAGCAAAAAGCGGGACTTTCAAATTATCGAAATGTATTAAGATTATATTTAACGCAGAAATCTTTGAATCAAAGGTAGAAATAAAACACTGTTTAAATAAAAGATAATGATAAAGCACAAACAAGATTAAACATATATAAAAATGTTAAAATGGTTATAAATACAATATTTACTTATACACTTTATTTATTTACATTACACTTTACTGTCTCTTTAAAAAACGGTTTTTGTACAAGTATGCTTAATAAAATCATCATGCTGTTTCAGAGAAAGAAGTTTACCTATATAATTTAATTTTACCTTTAAATATTTTAATATGATTTTACCAGCTCATACTTATGATCTTCTAAAATATTTAATTATAAAATATGTGCGTCAAAATTTTTTAAAATTGTATGTAACTTTAAATTTTTTTAATCCTCACTATTATTTGTTTAGTTATATTTTTAGATGTTAATTTATTTTTTAATCATTATTTTTCATCATGTTTGGTCTTATATCTGGTTGATTTACAACTTTCTACATAACAATATATTATTATTATTATTTTACTACTTTTGTATAAAAATCTATTATAAACAATACGTGAAATATGTCACAAAAATGAGAAAACACAATGAATACGGTATAACTCTTCTCTCTCTATTAATTCTTACGTTGACCGTTGGTCATCTATAGCGCTATAGCGCGACACATCATGGATTCTGACGTGAACTTGGCTACTGCCAGCCCATATTTTTATAGTCAAAGGGACAATTAATTCAATCGAACCTCCCACAACGTATACAGTCGAGACCGACGAGCCTCCCAAAACGTATACCTCCCCTATTCCCTCACTCTTTACCTCACGCATGCGCAAAGACTTACTTGATATAAATTCATCTGGCGCTAGCGCAGTTTCGAATGTAATCATACTTAGTGGTGAGAAAAGCGACGGAGGGGAAAATATACGTTTTGAGAGTGGATTTGTACACGTTTTGGGAGGCATATACGTTTTGGGAGTTTACGTTTTGGGAAGTTCGACTGTAATAGAAGAAATTATTGGTCTATTTATAAAAAAAGAAATCAAAATTAGAATGCTCGAGATTACTGAAGTTTTATTGTATATACGATTATTATAATTATTGAGTAAAAAATTAAGATGTTTTATTGCTTTAGGAGAATACTGAATACCGACTATAGAGACCTGTAAATCGACGTTTTAGAAATCTAAATTTTTTTAATTTTTAATTATTTTTACTGCATTACATGAAAAGTGCTTCTACAGAAACAAATAAATATAAGAAACTACATAGTGCTTTTGAATATAAATATATAATGCTCTTTTAAACGTTTTTTCGCTATGATAGCATATGATAACCTATACTGTCAACACGAGAATCGCTTTTTCTCGTTAACTACACGTTTTAACTATAATCTGAATGTTTCATAATATTCTTTTATATTGTACGTTTGTATGAAGCAGGGTCAAAGTATATATGTAAGGCTTAAAAATAATTCTACAATATGAAAATATGGTTGGGTTATAATAAGAAACTGTAAGTAAAACATTTATTCTCATTTCCGACACTTTAATAGGACTTCATACAAATCTTAGCATAATTTAATTGCTTCTAGAGAAGCATTTTTCATTTGATGTAATAAATAGGGAGAAATTTCGATTCTTCGAAATGTCGGTTTACAGGTCTCTAGCGTCGGTATCCAGTATCTAACAATAAGAAGCACATGAATATAAATAAAATAAGAATACATACTGAGATATTTTTTCATTGAATTCCTTTCTAGATAAATTACGTAACAATTTGATCAGATAATCAGGATCAATCGGACATGGATAGAAACGTTCATCAATATTTTTCAAATGACTGTTTGAATACAAGGTAGATGTATATAAAAATGCCTGTAAAATAATCGTCGATGTTTAATAGACTTTCAAAAAAACAATAAAAAAGTATAAAGTATTTTATAATATAATATCTGTACTATGTACAATATTAAAACTTTTATTTTATTAATTTACAAATAACATTTAAATATAATAAAGTATGTTGTAGAAAATATTTGTAAAAGAAGCTTGCACCTGTAACTTTGGCATATGTTTTACAAGCGTTAAAAGTTTCTTGATACTATAAACATTCAATGTAATAAGTTGATGTATTTCTTCATCAAAACGTACTATCCCCGCCACATGAAAGACTATAGATACCTACAATATAGAAGATTATTGACGTTATTATATATATAAATAATGTAATATAAATCTCATGTGCTTACTTCACGCATTAATATGTTCCTGTCATGTTCAGACAATCCTAAGTTTTCGTTATAAAGATCACCGGAAATTGGCACAACTTTATGTCGAAAATTTTGAACTTCTCTCTTTACTCGATCAAATAACTAGTACAGAAATATTAAATAATTCAATTGTACATTGGTACACATTTCAGAGGAGTGCACCATATCATTCCGCGCCAGGAGAAGTATTTCTCAGAAATTTCTTCTCCGGCTGCTCTTACTACCGCGCGTCGTTTTCCTTCGATCTCGGACTGCTGGCAGAGATCGAAAGAGAAGACGGCGCGCGGTAGTGGGGGAGAAATTTCCGAGAAATACTTCCCTTGGCGCAGAACGATATGGTGCACTCCTCTCTATATACTAATGCCGTTGGTATAAATAAGCATGTATACTCAACTCACCCTGTTTTCAAATAATTCGTTCAGTCTGCTTTCGATACTTTGTTCTTTCTTTGGACGTATTAAAATATAAATTTTGCAAATATCAGTAAAACTTCTCAGTAATTTTTCAAGTAAGACTATTCCGATAAATCCAGTAGCTCCTACATATAAAATAAAATAATATTACAATAAATCCAGAAAATAGTGATTTCCGAAACACGTCTGGAAAGTATCTATTTAAAAAAAAAGTCATCGAAGTTTTCACGTGAAAAAATATATAAACATACCTGTAATAAAAATAGTTTGACCAGCATAAAATTGTTGTAATTCAGTTTGTTGAGTTTTCATGTATTCACTTCTAGTTATATCCATAATAATTATACTAAATAATTATATGGTATTACAAAAATGCGGCAATAAAAATTTTTTATATAGAATTCCTAACACGTTGACTGCCAACTACGAGTTAGTCGGATTTGGAATAGAAGTTTATCAAATAGTTATCTCATATTTGATATTCTGTTTGTTGCTTTCAGCAAGTCTTCCTGTAATATATGCAATGCAAAAAATTATGTTGGGCATCTGTATAAGATTCGTATGATAATGTATTGGCATCAAAAGTCGAAAGCTGTACTTTTTATTATACATTTTTTTCTTAATTATATGTTTCGTGCTCGTTGTATATTTAAATAAAAAGATAGGGAGAAAGCTATAACTACAGTTACATCTGATGTTCGAGTAAAATTCTTCTTTAATCCGAGGATTTAAAAAAAAGATACAAACGTTTCGATCCACTATGAAATCTTCTTTAGTGTTTCTACATAAAAAAAAATTACAATAAATGCATAATCTATTTGCGATAATGAAGAATATGGATACAGAAAAGATATACGCTACAAACATAATGAAAAGCGAATCTAAATTTTAATTTTTTTAAAACAGAAATAAAAAAAATGTTTAGTTTGCCAAAAGTAAGCCAAATTGTTTCTTTATTTAAAAAAATCACTGTCGATATATACGAATAAAAAAAAAATTGCTTTTTCAGGTTTTTGTCCCGAAAAGTAAGTCCTTCGTACAAGTCAATAGATATTACATGATAAAATGTTTATATTTTGTTTTTAAATATGTATACATCTCCGTTTAATTACAAAAAAATTACTACCGCAACAATGTTTGCGAATAAAAACAAATCTTTCTGACTTCCTTCGGTTTTGTTCCGAAAAATAACAATCTTATTATGTATAGGATAAAGGTGCCTATTATGAGATATCTTTTTTTAAAGACTTACAATTTATTAAATATGTAATCTTAACTCTCTCTTAGTTAGTTTTATGTCAAACTTATGGGAAATATGTTCAAGTTTTATTGACAAAAATGAGCAATTGATAATAGTTATATTTTTTTTTATGTGAATTTTTGTCATCAAAAGTGCCGATTTTGCTAATTCAAGAAAAAAGATTTCTACTATGAAACACAAGGAGTTACTTTCCTATAGGAATCTTAGCACCAACAAAACTATCGTCATTCTTAACGTATCGCTCAATAGTATGTTTTGGGACACTGAATTGTTTAAATGCTTTTGAATATCTCATTTCTTTGCTTCTTACTGTCTTAACAGCCTCTAATAAACTGTAAGATTACGATTGCTCTTCTTTGCCTCAATCTAAAAATATGAGAGTACTAAAACCTTATTAGTACTAAATAATACACCAAATAAAGAACTTTACAGTTCCTAATATAAAGTATCTGATATTAAGAGCGGCTGCATGTCTCATATTAGGGAAATAAAATTGTAGAAAGTTTAAGTTTATACCGACAAAATATGTAATAAATTGATAAGACTACATAATAAAACACTTATACATATAGTACACATTTACTGTACTATATAAGTACAGTGTACACATGCACTATAAGTGATTTAACCTGTGGTAGTGAAAAAGATATATAATAATCGAAGTATAATTTGTAATAGCTGTGCGTCAGTGTTTTGTTTACCTACAGATATATATCAACGTGTTCGTCTTTATAGACGACGGTTTCTTTCTTCTTTCTTTTCGAATAGAAAATTTTACGGTGAAATAATAATAGAATAGAAAATCTTTCACGGTGTTTAAGTAAATTTCAAAACCTCCAATCAAGAATCTATTCTGTCGTACCAGACTAAATATAGACGCGCAGCTAAGACTAATTTGCGGTGAGTTTCTAATTTGTTAAATTAATTTAAACAACATTTTAACAATGTTTAATTGTGGTGTCACCGGCAAACCACTTAAAAAATTTTTGACATTATAATTAGATATCTACCCAACAAACAATTTGATTGTGGGATGTTGTAGATTTGTCAAAAATCGCCGGCGGAATTTAAGGACGTTCTCCGAATTATTGATTTTCTTAGGATTTTCTTTAAATTTGCGATATACATAGTTTATAATCTTATTTATACGTAGCCTTTTTGGATAATAAGGGTAGCAATGTTAAATTCCAAAATATGGAAGATTTATATTTCAATGTTTAACATAGATTTCCTATGCTGAGCCTTTGTAAAGTGGGATTTTTTTAAATTACTGACGACAATTTTCTTAGGATTTTTTTAAAAAACAAGTATGTGGTAGTGGAGAGTCTAATTAAAATACGATTTTGAATAATATGGCAAGCAACCTTTTTTTCAAACTGTAGCTTTTTTTTTTGTTTTTTTTTTTTT